TTCAACTTGGATATGACAATACGGTAGTGGATGAGATGCTATTAGAAATACCAGGGCTCATCAGTTCAACTTGGATATGACAGATACGGTAGTGGATGAGATGCTATTAGAAATACCAGGGCTCATCAGTCCAACTTGGATGTGACAGATATGGTACTGGATGAGATGCTATTAGAAATACCAGGGCTCATCAGTCCAACTTGGATATGACAGATATGGTAGTGGATGAGATGCTATCAGAAATACCAGGGCTCATCAGTCCAACTTGGATATGACAGATATGGTAGTGGATGAGAAAAAATACCAGGGCTCATCAGTTCAACTTGGATATGACAGATATGGTAGTGGATGAGAAAAAATACCAGGGGTCATCAGTCCAACTTGGATATGACAGATACGGTAGTGGATGAGATGCTATTAAAAATACCAGGGGTCATCAGACACAGCAGTAGTCAAAAAACTATTTATATTTTTGATGTAAATATTTCATTGGCAAAAACCTCAATGGCTTAGAGTTAAATGAGTGCTACCACTTATGTTTTTCTATGATCATTTTAAATAATGTGTAAATTTATAAGTAGCAAAACAAGAGTACAAATTACTCAACATTTTTGATTCTAGATGTTTTCTTGGTACCATACCATGTCTGTACATTTATATTTATTTTTAAATGCATCCTAGGAATACAAGATATACTTTTGCTATGTATTTGTACAAATGAAGAACATAATAACAAAATAAATTGGATTGGGGGGGGGGGGGGGTCCTCTCCTGACAAAGTCATTCTGTGCAAAATAAAATACCCAATTCTGATAATCCTAAAAAAAATATGACTAATATTTAAGACAATATTTTTTTGATTCCACCTAGTGGCAAGTTGTTAAACTAATGCTATTTAAAATAGTTTTATACACACAATTTCATGTTTTTATTTCACAGTTTTAATGAGTCACTTAAGACACTGGAATTAAGATGTATACAACCTTCAGAACATGATGAAAGATCATATTAGGTAGCCTTTATCAAATTCAGTCATCAATTATTTTTATTCATACTCCAGTTCATATATAAAAGGTTGACAACTGTGAGTGGGCAGGATCTGAACCCATGACACTTCTCACTACAGGTTAGAATCCTGCCTTGTCTCAATTTTAATTTCTTCAGAAAAAGTTACAAGCACCCAAAATGGAGTATAACCTTAACATGATTATATGTATAACTCACCTAATGGCACAAGAAACGAGCCATCTGTTTCAAAAATCCACGAACTGTCGTGAACATGTGCTTCCACCTTACCATACATGACGGTAAAAAACTGAGGTGAGAAAAAAAAAACAGTTAGGGTTATTTAGGAAGTTCTCTCAACCTTAATAAAATCAAATTTCAAGTATAATTTGTAATTTACATAAAAAATTTAACACTTACTGAAGAAGCATTACTTTTTAAACTTTTCCAATATCACAATTAATATATATATATATATACACAGCGTAGTCACAAGT